CCCTGCTTATTTGAGTTATCTTCACAAATACCTTTACCTGTCTCCTTAATGTCCCTATTCAGATCAGGGCACTGTAACTGTTGTGCAGGGACACTGCGAAAGTTTTGTGTTTATGGTTCACAGCTCTCACCCTGCCAGATCCCACAGTTGTCCACACTGCCCTTCTCCTGCAGGATCTTTGTGGTATAGGGGGGCTGATAGCATGGAGGCTTACTAGAGTAGAGGGGCTGAACTGGACACCTAATTTCTGCCTGAAGAGCAGAGATTACAGACCCTAGATAAATAATCTGTCCTTGTAGACTAGTGATTTGTTTACAGATGGGACAGTTTACAAGTTTGAAAAGGGTACTGCGAAAGACAGCTGCAAAGCAAGTGTTGCACTGAACTAAGCCAGACATTCTTAGATACAGGGAATCTGAATGTACTGCTGCTGTTTTTGATTTTTAGTTATAGAATTATATAATTTGCACACCGTTAGGCGCTGGCTTCTACTTTCCTGATGGAGTCTCCCAAGACTTACAACTCTGGAGCAGCTGAATGCAGTATGAAGGGAGAAGTTTAGTCACCAGCCAGGAGTCAAACTGAGCAGTTTTTCTGGGCCAATAGAAAAACAATCTGCCTCCCTCTGCAAAGCTTCTGCTGAGAAATTTGGTTTCCCCCTCGTAGTTTTTTCCTACGATAAGTGTGAGAAGAACAATATGGCTGCCAATCATCTGTCACTTAAAAACATACTGCTATTTTAATATTTATACACATATTTGAATTGGCTGCAGTTGATTGTTCTATATCAAGGGTGTCAAATTGCCAGCCCCTGGGCCAGTTCCATCATACGGAGGCCACGCCCACCCCAGCTCCGGCAATGCAAAAAAAGTCACGACATATCATGACATGTTAAGTGACGTGGGAGTTTGACACCCGTGTTCTATATGAATAGAAGCACTCATGTTACTATGAGCAAGTTGCTCTTGCTTACCGAATGTGTTTATTGCAGACAACCCTGAAGGTCCAAACACAGTAAATTTCAAATGTACTATTAATATTATGGGCTGCCAGGTAAATATAATTTCTGTCAATTCACTTTCCATAAATGTAGAGTGGCTATTCAGGCATATAAAAACATTCAGGTTCTTCCTGGTGATCCTAAGTCTAAATTGCAGAGCAGATTTTGTTAATATTTGGATCTGTTGCAAGTTATTGTTGATTGTGCTAGAGAACCAGAGAGAGCCCAGTAGCTTCAGCCAAACTTCATTGGTCATGCAAAAGTATGATTAAGTTTTATCATCAGTGTCTGTGTTGTTTCTGAAATGAGCAAATATAAAATGAAAGCATCAGTTGCCATGGAAATTTAAAATCCCATAAATGCCAGTTGCCACAAATATACATGGCACTCTTTTCTTTTTCTTACTGCTCCTTTTATATAATTTTTGCATCATATTTCAAGAATCTTCCAATTGGCAGTCATTTCTTCTTATTTTACCTTACAATGGACACGGATTATTTTAGGAAGAAAGAAAAAGAATTTCTTTTTTGTTTATGGGGATCAAAGGGCCAAAGAAATCTTGCTTTGTTTCAGGAAAGTGAAACATTGCATTTTCCTGATGAATTTTATATGCTTTTTACTTGAATTTGCAAATATCTTCTTGTTTAGAGAATGGATGGATTAAAAAAAACCCAAATAATTATAGTAGCAAAGATTGTATGGTCTTCAAAAACATGATTAAAAACAAAGAAGAAAAGTAATTAATGATAACTTTTCAGCCATGCTCTGCCCATTCCATAATGTTTCTGCATTAATCTGGTACAAAAAAAAATATGAAATAGAGATTATGGTTCAACTAAAAATTGAAGTTATTTTTCTAAGAAAGGCCTAATATAGAAACAAAAAGAAAATATTTTTCATATCCGTCAAAACCCTCTGCAGAGAATAAATAAATGGCATGACTATCAAAATCTCAAAAGTGATGGAACAGTGGCATGTAATGCGTACAATGATTTTTTTATTTAATGTGTGTGGGTGTGCATTCACATTGCTTGGTTTATCACAGTTTGTCTTCAGTTTTCATAAAAGCCACTGGGCACTATTAATTGGTTCAAGGCTTTTATGGCCTTGCTTTGAACCTTTTGGAAGCATTTGCCCAAAGTCTATTCACTGATATCTTCTATTTATTCAATACTTACCATATTTATTTATTGCTCTAGTCTCTCGCCTTCCTTTTGGTTCACCAATTCTAGAGTGCAGCTTTCAGCACGCTGTAAATAACTGCCAGTGGCCTCTTAGCTCACTTCTAAGCCAAGACTACTCCATACTCAACACAGAATGTGCATTATGTATATATTTTATAGGAAGATTTTGAGGCAAAGCCTTCTCAAGATCTTTTCACTGTCAGCTCCCTTTTGGTCTGCTTAGGTCCTAGGATGTTTTGAAGAGCTTTAGTTGGCTTGTGTGTTATGCTGATTCGATGTGGTTGTCGTGGTGAGTTGGCGGTTTCTGAGATATTCTTGATGAATGGCAGTGTAATTCTTTTTAGGGCTTGTGTTGTTTGTGTTGTGTGAATGGTCAGGGACTTTTTGATAAAGTTCTGTGCCTATCCATTTTGTTGGAATATGTTGTATAGATGCTCTGTTTTCTTTTTCTGCTGTTCCAGGTTGCTGCAGTGTGTTTGGGCTTGTCTAAATATAGTCTTTACACAGCTTTTCTTGTGGCAGGTTGGCTGTTTCTCTAAAAAGAAAAGTCCTAAGCAGACCAAATGACCCAACAACCCCAGAAGAAAAAAATAGGAGTCATTTACAATATACAGTGTAGGGACTGCAACAACCACTATGTAGGACAAACAGGCAGAAGACTGACAGAACGCATCCACAAACACCAACTAGCAGTCAGAAGACATGATGAAAACTCTTTAATTTCACAACATATGGATAGACTCAACCATAGTTTCAATTGGGAAAATGTGACCTTCCTAGACCAAGCCAAACCCCCAAACGCCAGGGAATTTCTAGAAGCCTGGCTCTCTGACAAATCAGCCCTCAATAGACACATGAACATTAACAACATCTATAGATTATACAAAAGAGATTATCACCCAGCCCAAAAATGACAAAAAGACCCAAGCACCTCTCCACCAGCAATCAGCACCCAGATCGGCTTAGATTAACACCAAGGTTAATATCAGACCAAGAATCAAGAAAACCAAACCCCAATCAAGAAACTGCCAAAGAAGCCAGCAGCAAACAGCACAACCAAAGAATTACCAAGACCACCTCCACCAACATTGACAGGACAAGACACCAGAATATAAACCGACAGCAAACCACACTCCTTACTAGCACTGATGATGTTATCTAGTTTGGGTAATGAAATATCTGCAAGAAAACAAGCAAGCTCAGAGAGCACCAAGGACCCCTCACTAACCATATATACTCTGGAACTCAGCCTTCAGATCTCCAATAATAAAAATCCAAAATACGCCCAAGGGCATCAACTGAGGAAGTGGGAGCAGAGTGAAAGAGGCTCCTATTCATGATATTGTAAGATACAAACTTGTGAGAAATTGGCAAACATATGTAAGAAAGCATCCTTTACGATGCAATTCTTAGTTCTCACATAGATGCACTGCAAATGATCACAAAACACAAATAGACAGGTCAGATAAAAAGTTAGAAGATATTTTACTCAGGCTGAACCTGACTTAGGGTTAATCTTGGTTAGGTTTTTTTTTCTGTGCACACTGTGTAAATCCAGCCTGTAGGGATAGTTTGTAATTCAATGTACAAAACCAGAAAATGTGTTATTCAGTCTCCAAGTTAGGCATGAGAGGTAAACATAGCCAAGTATCTGGAACAAACAAAAAATAAAGGAATGAGATGGGCATTGTCTAGTAGAAGTGTAAGATGCTAGAATCAAGAGCCTGGAAGCCATGTGAAGAGAGATAAGCACTCAAGATTCCTACATCTTAAACTGATTATTTGTATTGCCCCCTGATAATCATAGATATTACCTAAGATTTAAATGACCTTTGAAATAAGAAACAGGACTGACTCATGTAGAAATCTGAGCAGTGCATGGGCAATGGTATTAATCCTAATCCTAGTAGTAATTTCCTCGGTCTGCTTAGCAGTCTCTAGAAAGGCTGGAGCATCTGCAGTTGCCACCAGACAAATAAGCCCTGTCTGTCATTATTCATATAACGATATCATTTATATGCTGACAAAAATCTGGTTTTCCGCTTAGAATCCCTAATGCTGGAACTTGGTTTCATTTGTATGCATCCAGTGGAAAAAAAAGAAAAGAAATTCCACTCATGTCATTCTTTTTAGCCAATTTATACTCTAGCCTGACATTATATGGATTATATACTTCCATATAGGTGAGAGGCTGAATCTTTGTTTCCATATTGCTATCCGATTCACCTCTGTTCCGCATATTTTCCTAAGAAAGGAAAGAAGTTAGACTGTAATATTTAACAGCTGCAATTCCTATTTCCAAAAAAAGGAGTCAATATCATTGTTTTTCCCAGAAAATTTTGGGGTGTCTCCTGGTACTTCTGTACCTATTTGCATATTTGCAAATATAACTGAACTACTAGCTACATCCTATTTTCCTCTGGGAATATAAGCACTGGTATGAAGTGGTTATCTTGATTTAGATGGACCATTTGCTAATAAAAGTCAATCTTCTTCTCACTCTCATTTGCCATCTTTCTTGGAGGTTTTACTGCCTCCCCACTAAATCTTCCGACTCACACAATGACATAAACTATGTGGTAGTTTTGAAAAACTCAGTTGCCCAGCAATTGCTCCTTTAACTTTCCCCCTCTTTCTTTTTCCTCCGATCCCTCAACAACCCAAAGACAAGGTACATTTTTGCAAAGGCCATACAGATGTCGTTTTTCTGCCCCCCCCCCCCCGCCTTTCATGTGAAGACTCCGTCCACCCAAACCTGTAACTCCTTTGACCATTTGAAGGCTGATTTTAACATAGCTGGTTGTTTGCTGACTCACTTTCTGCGTCATATAGTAAGGGTCAAAGTCCTCCAATGGCACAGCAACCAAGCCTTTGGGGATATCCCCGTAGATGAAAGGCAAACTCTTCCCAGCCTCCAGGTCACTGTTTGGTTTTGGTTTGTTCTCTTCATCGTCATCTCTGTGACTGCTGTCTTGCTTAGGACGCTTCTTTTTCTTGTCTTCTTCAATGCGCTTCTCAATGTTAGCCAGAGATTCCGCAGTGAAAGGCCTAAAACTGTCAGGGCCTGGTGGTGCAAGCAACCGCCCTGCCATCTTTTCATCCTGCAGAAGCTTGTTCAGTTATGTTGCACCCAGGGTAGGTCAACTCTGAATGGGAGAGCACAAAAGAAAAAGAAAAAAAAACCATAAATCAGTTATCAACATCAGGGTTGGCGGGATAGTTGGGAACTTCCCTAGGAAATAATTAATCCGGTTGAGCCTTTTCCCCACTGAAGTAGTAGACTGAGAGTCCTTTGAGGTTACAAACAAACAAACATCACTTCTTACATTCCCCAGTGGAGTAATCAGTTTTGTCTATTGTAGCATAAACAATAAAAAAGCATTAAGGCATGCCAAAAATTAGCATCAACTTTCAAGGTCTATGCTTTCCTATGTCATTTGCCTCACTTAACTTTGGGTTCTTCTGGGGACATTTGAGACATTGACCTTACCACAAGTTCCGAGTTCTTCAGACAAAGAATAAATTATTGGGATTACTCCGTTTAATAGTCCATGATCAAAACAGTAAGAAACAGCAGCTTTTATTGCCAGAATTTACTGAGTTTTGTAATGCTCTGATGGCTCTGCCTCTCCTGAAGATTCAGCTCCTCAACCACATATTAATCTGATATTTCTCTTTTTATCCTGTTTCCATTCTGGGCAATTTCATCTCAGTTTGTATTATATGTTCCAACATTTTTCTTTCAATTTCAGATGCTCATACTAAGAAACATAGAAAGTTTTACAAGATTTGAAATGCTAAATCAATGATTTCAAAACAGCATTTTGTCATCTCTTGACTGGACTATTGCAACACATTATAATACAGCGATGTCTTTGAAGAGCATCAATTAAAGCTGGTTGAGAATGCAATGAACCAACTAAGTGCATCCCTGGTTTGCTCAAGTGACACCACTACTGGGAGGGGAGTATTAGTTGCCAGGTTGCTTCTAGGTGCAATTCAAGGTCCTGGTTGTCCTCTTTAAGGCCCTTTGTGGCTCAGAATTTTGCTATCCATGAGACCACTTTCTCTCAATGGGAACTGCCTCTGAATCCCTTCTGAACCCCCTTCGGGGACTATGATGGCATGCCTTTTCCATTACTGCCCGTCCCCTTTGAAATAATGCTCCACCTGAGGTCACATCATTACCAACTCTGTTGGCATTTAAGAAAATCCCTAAAACGTAGCATTTCCAGAAGGACTTGGGGTATAAATAGAATGGTGCATTTCTGTGCTGATTATTACTCAGACTGCCATTTCTTGGCATGATTTTGAATGGAAATATTATTATTACAGGTAGTCCTCAATTTACAACCAATTGTTTAGTGACTGTTCGAAGTTACAAATGGAAAAAAGTAACTTGCAATCGGTACTCACGCTTAGAACCATCGTAGCATCTGCACTATCAAATCCAGGTGCTTAGCAATTGGCATGTACTTACAATGGTTGTTGCATCCCGGGGTCATGTGATCACCATTCATGATTTACCCAGCCAGCTTTCCACAAGCAAAGTTAATGGGGGAAGCTGGATTTGATTAAGGACCACATGATTCACTTAACTGAGTGGTTCACTTAACAACCATGGCAAAAAAGGTCAAAAGTTGGAAACAACTCACTTAACCACTTTGCTTAACAATGGAAATTCTGGTCCCAACTGTGATCGTAAATCGAAGACTTCCTGTATTTGATTTGGCTTATGTTATAACATTGTTTCTATTTTTTTTTTTTTTGTTACAGTATAGTAGGGAACTGCTGTCCCTTTACATAATAAACCAGCCTGATGTGTTCAGGAGTACTTATCTAATCCCTGAGAGGAAAAGAAGGCATTCTCTTAGGTTTTGGGCAAGAAACACTTTTTAGAGTTGGTTTTAGTCCTGGACTGATGGTGAGGGGGTTACCTGAGGCAATGCTGAACATTGAGGAATTATTTTGTTCTAGCGTAGAATTCTGTGATGGTTTGTGTGTGTGAGTGTGCACATGTTATTTTATCTGTTTATAATTCTGTGTGGATCTTTTATCTTTTTCGGCACCTTTAATAAAGTTGATTTTTGTTTAAATGCTGAAGCTGACCAATGGCCTTCTGGCATCCACCTCAGACTGGCTGAGCTACAGATTCCCAAAAGTTTTTAAAGCTTCCCTTCCTGTAGTTTGACCAGATGCAGCCTGAACTAAGCATGACCCATCAAGTGTGCCCCAGAATTTTCATGCCAGATGTCCCAAGATGCTTTCCCCAAAATAATTTAAATGCTTCTATTCCCCACTATTGAGTCAGAACTGAAGGAGCTTCTTGGATTTCAAGGAAAAAATCCAAGAAAGTCCAGTTGCTTTTTGGAAGAGCATCTTTGGGACAACCATGACCTGGATGGCTGAGAATCTCCATAAAGACTTTCATGCCAGATGCTCCGTGGTCCCATTTCAAAGGATTCCCTGAAGGGAAAAAAAAAGATGGAATCCCATTGCTCCATCTGAAAACCAAAGCTCTTCATAAGAATGTGGTTCTTCTCCAAGTCTGCTAAGACAGGCCCCTTTGGCTTTGTATGGAAGAACCCAACCAGCAACAAAAGTGAAGAATTTTCCAAAAAGCTATATCAAAGCAGCATTTTTCCTCAAGCTACTCTGGGAATCAACTCTCTGAAATGTAGCACTAAATGCAAAGATTATCCAAGAGGTATTTGTCCCCAAGTGCACAAAGATTAGCAAGTTCTGAGGGTTTTATTTAAATAAAAAAACATTAATTTTTCTATACCACAAAATGAAATCAAACCAAACAAAAAAAGAAACTGATTATTATTATTACTTTTTAAAAAGCAAGTTTGAATAAAACACCTGGGAGCTGTTTAAAATACAGGTTGTCCTTGACTTACAACAGTTCATTTACTGACCATTCAAAGTTACAACAGCATTGAAAAAGATGACTTATGACCATTTTTCACACCTATGGCCATTGCAGCATTCCCATGGCCATGTGATCCAAATTCAGACGCTTGGCAACTGACTCATATTTATGACGGTCGCAGTATGTGATCCTCTTTTGAGACCTTCTGACAAGCAACGACAATGGGGAAGCCAGGTTCACTTAACAATTTTGTCACTAAATTTACATCTGAAGTGATTCACTTAACAACAGTTAAGTGCAAGAAAGGTCATAAAATGGGCCAAAACTCACTTAACAAATGTTTCATTTAGCAACAGAAATTTTGGGCTCAATTGTCATCATAAGTTGAGGACTACCTGTAAAGGTATAATCCCATTGTATCTAAAATGTCGCTAGGAGTTGAAAACCTTCTTTCCCCGTTGAACCGTCTGTCTGAAATCACATATGGCAATAAGCAAGGCATGAATCTTATTTGCTCTCATTCTCACTTGGCATTTGAACTGACAGATCACACTGACTCTGACTCATACAACTCTAGCATACACCTGCTCTGTACTTGCCTGTGAACACTTTGCAGGTATGAAAGAACCATGAATTGTGAGTATGTTTAGGCTGAAAGCATAGAGTTTTTTTTATTTTAAAACATTAGATATCCACGTGTGCCCTAGGTTGGGGCACATATCATTCTGGGATATATAATTTGCAAAGCCATAGGCTGTCCTAACATGACAGGAATAACTCTTCTCCATTCAAGGAAGAACTAATTTCTCCTCTACCGGTAGCAAATGGCAAAGATGGCAGGGTTTGTCACGTGGTTACTATATTTTTAGTCCTCTCAGCTTCTGTGAAAAAGACTATCGTTTCTCAACTCTTGTCTTTTTTCCCTGTATGATTGTGTATGTTGTGTGCAAGGACTCTGCAGTTATGCAACGGGATCGAATTACACAGCAGATGGACTGAGAGAGAACTTACCCTCTGCTACATAACAGATAACAGAATAAAAGAGTTGGAAGGGACCTTGAAGTTCTTCTAGTCCAGTGGTTCTCACCTTTTTAATGCCACGACCCTCAACCGGTCGTAAGTCGAGGACTACTCAGCTGGTCGTAAGTTGAGGACTACTCAACTGGTGCAGCACTGTTTGCAGACTGGGACTTTTGGCGGGCTCAGCAGGGCAGAGACAGCCTGGACAATTCCTATTGGCTTTTGAAAGCCAATAGAATTAGACTCTATTCAAGAGAGTCTATTCTATTGGCTTTCAAAAGCCAATAGAATAAAAAGGAGTAGCACAGCTAAGGAAAAGGGGGAAAAAATGGCGGACTGCGTTGTTTGGCGACCCCCGTGAAATGGTCATTTGACCCCAAATGGGGTCCCGACCCACAGGTTGAGAACCACTGTTCTAGTCCAACCCCCTGCTTGAGCAGGAGACCATATACCATTTCATTGCCTGGGCTGGTGTGAAAAGGAAAGGAAAAAGATAGTGGCAAAAGTGCCACCCCCCCCCACACCCCACCCATTTCAGACAGTTCTCTCCAGGCTATTGTCTCAGTCTCGTGAGTGAAAAACATCAACTAATCACCTAGAAAGTAATCCACATAAAATAGGTAGATGGGTGTAGTTTAGTTAGTGTAGGTTAACTGTTAAAGTGTTTGCACAACAGTTTTACCCTTTTGGTTTCTTTGAGGAGGACCTTGCTGTGGTTGTTTGCAGCACAGCACAATCTGCCAGTTCAGCCACAGTGGCTTGGCAGTATGAGTGAAGATGGCCATTTGTTCAACAAATTGTGGTTTTGTTGTTTAAAAAATCATACAGAACTTGTTGCAGTGCGCAAACATAGGGTTTAGTTGAAAGAGATCTAGATTTCTATTTCCAAGCAAAAAGATGAAAGTTCTTTGTTCTCCCTTTCAGTAAATAAAAATGATTGATAAAAGGAACCCATTTTCCAGAATCCAGAATCTGTTGACATGCTTGAGAAATATGAATGGCTAGCTGACTTTTTCAGTATTATAGGAGAAATGGCTCCAGAATGAATATCTGGTTGTATTAGCTACATAAGGGAAGGTTCACAGTAGGACTGCTCTTTCAAAAATGCAGCAAAACCTTAATTTGACTCTTTCTGAATAGTAAGTTGCTGCTCTTGGTAAAGTATATTTGACACTTTGATCAGGAAAAAGTGTCAAATATACTTTTACCAAGAGCAGCAACTTACTATTCAGAAAGACTCAAATGAAGGTT